GGGAACCAATTTATCAACAGATTGATAATTGATGTACATGGAATCAAGTAAGAGTTCACTATGACTCAAATATTTAATAGCATCAAACTGAGATAGCCTGATGCAATCATTTTTAAAATAAGGATCAGGTATCAAGACCAATCTCAGAAGGACCCTCAACCCTTTGAACAGGGCTTGAGTAGTTATGTAAAAGCTTGCTCCATTTCGACCCTCCCTTTTCTACCATCTTTTATGGTTTACCAAGCCTTCTTTTGATTGACACATTTTTAAGAATATTCCCCCATGCCATATTTTCTCAACTTAGAGTTTCCAACCTCAGCATTATTGATGTTTTGGGCCAAATAATTCTTTGTTGGAAGACTATAATGTATATTTTATGATGTTTAGCAGCATACCTGACCTTTACCCACCAAATGCCAATGGCACCTATCCCTACAGTTGTGATGACCAGAGTATCTCCACACTGCCAAATGTCCCCTGGGAGACAAAAATCATCCCACCTCGAGTACCACTTCATTAATATAATTAAGAGCATGGGCTCTCAAGTTAGACTTCTTTTGAATTTCTGATAGGCTGTTTCCCAATGGTATGACCTTGAGCAAGTTATAATTTACAATGTACATTCCTTTTTTTTGGTTACCCAGCAACTATACCACTTTCCTAGCAATATCTCACTCTCTTTGAGGGAGTTATCTCTCCTCCATTTTATGTAATTTGGATAGTATTCCTGTCCTCCTCTTACATAAGCCAAAGATAATTCTAGTGATTTCTCCCAGATTCTATCACATTCTGGGGTCAGACACTGATCTAAGTTAGGTCAACAGAATACTCTCTCCCCAGACTTTGAATGTTGAGCAAGAAGTAAAGATAGGGGATGCCTGGGTGGCTCAGCGGTTGGGCGCCTGCCTTCAGCTCAGGTTGTGATCCCGGGATCTGGAATCGAGTCTCGCATCGAGCTCCCTGTGAGAAACCTGCTTCTCCCTCTGCCTATGTGTCTGCCTCTCTCTCTCTCTCTTCTGTGTCTCTCATAAATAAATAAATCTTTTTTAAAAAGAGAGATAAGAAGAAGGGTGATAGTTCATTCATCAGTGGGTTCCTACCATGAGACCAATCTCATGGTCCTTGTTGTCTAGTGCTCTGAAATTAACTAGGTCATGCATTTCTGAGCTGGTTTCTTCTGCCTTCCTATCATTTCTGTAAGTTTTTTTTTATGTCTTTCCAATAAGTTCTTTTTGCCTTAAATTTCCAGTAAGTTTCCATTATTTACAATTGAAGAATCCTAATAGATGCAACTTATCTGAGGATAAAAATACCTACCCTTAACAAAGTTACTGAATGGGCTATTTTACAATAATACATGTAAAGTACTTAGCATAGTCCCTGACATGTGGCAATCAGACGATAAATGTTAGCTACTATTAGTAAGGGTCTTTAAGATTTCATAGTTTAATTCTGAGGGCAAAGTTATTTCTCTAAATTGCAAGTTCTTAGAGTCTTAGTGGGACTTGCTGACACTTGAGTGTATAGAATTAATTATAGAATTAATAATTTGGCAGCAGATAAGACATGTAGTAATTATGAGAGTACGTCTTTGAGAAAGATTCTAATATTAAGAGAAGTGAAATACAGAACAAGCTGGTGGTTTCCAGAGGGGAGGTGAGTGATGGATGGGTGAAATAGGTGATGGGGATTAAGGAGTGCACTTGTCTGATGAGCACTGGATGATATATGCAATTGTTGAATCACCATATTATATATATGAAACTAATACAACACTGTATATAACACTGTATATTAACTATACTAGAATTAAAATGAAATTTTAAAAATTTAAAGATTTTGTTTATTTGCTAGAGAGAGAGCAAGCACAAATGGGGAGAGGGGTGAAGGGAGAGGAACAGTCAAGACACCCCACTGAGCACAGAGCCACTGTGGGTCTTGATCCCAGGACCCCAAGATTATGACCTAAGCCAAAGTCAGAAGCTTAACTGAGCTACCCAGGACCCCTAAAATGAGATGAAATGTTTTAAAAAGAGAAATGAAGTAGAAAAAAGAAAACCAGTTTGGGGATTGAAATAGCATTGTTGTTTTTTTCTAAGATTTTTTTTTTTTCAGTAACCTCTACACCCAGTGTGAGGCTCAAACTTACAACCCTGAGATCAAGAGTCGCATGCTCCACTGACTGAGTCAGCCAGGCACCCAGGTTTGGTTTTATATTCGTTAAATATTTGATAGAATTATGACATTGTTCACAGAAAATGGACTGCAAGGGTTTGGAGCATGGGTGATTAAGACTTGATTTGGGACACAAAAAAGGATTAACATGACAACTGAAATAAGAAACTAAGGTAATTCTTCCAAGGCTGGAGAGAAAGTGGACATCTTAAGGTATTCTTTCATTATAAACAGAAGCCAATTGGTGCTGATTTAACAAAGAAACAATTTATGGGAAAGAATAAAGTAGGAGAAATAGAGTCACTTCAACTATCTTATCCAGTCATTGCTGCTGAAATAAATATATTTCAATCACTTTTCTCCAGTCCTGGGTCTTCTACTCAAGTTTCAAGTGTAGGGGCAGGAGCATCATTGACTCCACCTGAGCTCCTGGCCTACCCCTCACTAATGAGGGGGCAAGACACCAGAAATTACAGTCCCACTAAGACTTTATAAATTAAAGAATGGGAAACACAACTGTACAAAAGGAAAACAGGGAGCTATTAAGAAGAGGACATGTGGGGCAGCCCAGGTGGCTCAGCAGTTTAGCGCAGCCTTCAGCCCAGGGCATGATCCTGGAGACTCGGGATCGACTCCCATGTTGGGCTCCCTGCATGGAGCCTGCTTCTCCCTCTGCCTGTGTCTCTGCCTCTCTTTCTCTCTGTGTCTCTCATGAATAAATAAATAAACATTTTTTAAAAAGAAAAAAGGAGACATGTGCTTGCTTCAGCAGCACATATATTAAGAAGGGGACATGTATGTTGATTATCAAAAAACACCCTATGCATGTACATTAAAGGGGTCTCCAATTCAGGCAAAGGAGCAAGATGGTCTTATATCAAAGTTCCCAAGGGGACAGAGTTTCAAAGTGCCAAATGTTGCTTCAAGGATGAGAATTGTAAGGGGAAGAGGCCTGCAACTCCATCAATTTTATTGAACTTTATGGGGCGCCTGCATGGCAGGGTCAGTTAAGCATCTGCCTTCAGCTCAGATCATGATCCCAGGGTCCTGCCTCTCCCCCTGTTTGTGCTTGCTTTCTATCTCTCCCTCTCAAATAACTAAAAACCTTAAAATTTTTTATTGAACTTTGGAGAATACAATTTTGGTAGAATAGTGAACAAGCGAATATAAAAGCCAAGTTAGAAAAGGAAAGGAATGATGAGAGGTCCAGTTTTTAGGAAGTTCATAAAGTGCTTCTTCCTCCATAGTATCAGTGTACTTTATCTAAATTGAGCAACTCAAGGCAGCCTTGGAAGCATAGCCAAGGGAACCTGGGTGGCTCAGCAGTTGGGCATCTGCCTTCAGCTCAGGGCATGATCCCGGGATCTGGGATTGAATCCCGTATCAGGCTCCTTGCAGAAAGCCTGCTTCTCCCTCTGCCTGTGTCTCTGCCTCTCTTTCTTTATGTCTCTCATGAATGAATAAATAGAAAGAAAGAAAGAAAGAAAGAAAGAAAGAAAGAAAGAAAGAAAGAAAGGAAGGAAGGAAGGAAGGAAGGAAGGAAGGAAGGAAGGAAGGAAAGAAAGAAAGAAAGAAAGAAAGAAAGAAAGAAAGAAAGAAAGAAAGAAAAGAAAGAAAAAGAAAAGAAAAAAGAATAGCCAAATCTGTAAATGTTGGACTTCCAATTTCATTAAATATTTGAAAGCCAATTGGCTGCCCAAATAAACAAAATCTTAAAAAAAAAAAAAAAAAAAAAGCTAGTGCAAATATTACTTTAAAAAAATTAATTGGGGCAGCCGGAGTGGCTCAGCAGTTTAGTGACACTTTCAGCCCAGGGCCTGATCCTGGAGATCCAGGATCGAGTTACACGTCAGGCTCCCTCCATGGAGCCTGCTTCTCCCTCTCTCTATGTCTCTGCCTTTCTCTCTCTCTCTCTCTCTCTCTCTCTCTCTGTCTCTCATGAATAAATAAAATCTTTAAAAAATAAATAAAATTTAAAAAATAAAAAATTAATTGAAAAACAGGGGTGCCAAAAAAAAAAAGAAAAACAGGGGTGCCTGGGTGACTCAGTCGGTTAAGCATCTGCCTTCAGCTCAGGTCATGATCCCAGGGTTCTGGGATGGAGCCCCAGGAGCCCCACATTGGGCTCCCTGCTAAGCATAGAGTCAGCTCCTTCCTCGCCTTCTGCCCCTCCCCCCTCACTTGTGTTTTCTCTCTCGTTTGCTCTCTCTCTCAAATAAATGAATAAAATCTTTTTTAAAAATGTAATCAGAAAATTTTAAAAAAAAATTTTAAGAAGATTATTTATTCATGAGAGACACAGAGAGAGAGGCAGAGACATAGGCAGAGGGAGAAGCAGGCTCCCTGCCAGGAGCCTGAGGCGGAACTCGATCCCAGACCCCAGGATCATGCCCTGAGCCAAAGGCAGATGTTCAACCGCTGAGCCACCCAAGCATCCCTACATGACCTCTTAACATGAATTCTATATGCTTCTTTGCTTTTGTCTTTTTTTAAGATTTTATTTATTTACTCATGAGGGACAGAGACAGAGAGAGGCAGACACAGGCAGAGGAAAAAGCAGGCTCCATGCAGGGAGCCGGACATGGGACTCCATCCCAGGTCTCTAGGATCACTCCCTGGGCTGAAGGTGGCGCTAAACCGCTGAGCCACCCCGGCTGCCCTGCTTTTGTCTTTTATCTGTATTAATTTTTAAATTTTGAAATAGGTAAAACATGTTTTCATGAATTCTCAAGCCGTTCTGAGAACCCAACTTTTATGTTCTCATAAAACAGGCTACACATAAAATTATTCTCAGAGTAATGGTGTGTTTAAAAATTCACACTTACTGCACATGAGGAAAGCCAAATGGGTAGTGAGATTCAAATGGATAGTTGAAGCACAGAAAGGCCAATGTCAATGATGAACTAAATCTGAAAACAGACAAAGGATTAACTGTGGTTGAATATACACGAAATCTTGTCAACATGTTTTATGCCAAAATCAGTTCTGAGGGAGCAAAATGTTCTGTAAATTTTTAACAGTAACAGTAAATTTAGGCACTGACGTTAACTAAAAATACATATTATGAACAGCCAGCCTCTCTTCTGTAACTCAATGGTTTTTTTAAAAGCAATAGAACATTTCAACATTATGTCTCAAAACTGAAATGTAATGTATTGGAATAAAACCACTAGTATTATTGATTTTGAAAATTAAAAAATGTGTAAATGTCACTTTTCCATATTTTTTAGTATTGCTCATTTAAACTGAATATTTAATAATGCCTTTACAGTAAGAGAAACCACAAAATATCCAACAGTGAATTTAGCAATCATTTTAGTCCTACATTGTTTTATAAATAAGAAAAGGTCATGGGAAAATAAAGGTGCCAAAATTGACATGGCTTATTAATGTCTCAGCTGAAATTAGAATGCAGGTCTTCTGGCTCTAGTCGTATGTTTTTTCTACCACATTATAAGGTGATAACTAGATGTAAACATTTTACTAGGAACATTATTAACAACAACAAAAAAACAGTTTAGAAAATAAAAATGGTGGATATAAGAAATGAAAGTAAATTTATTAGGGTTAAAATTTAAGCTAGTAGGAATAGTTTGAAAATATTTCAAAGTCAAATCAACTGTCCCAAACTTGATAAGCAATAAAAGTCAATAAAAGTTTCAGGAAACCAAACGTGTTGCTCATATGAATTTATAAGCAAAATAATATTGGAAACAACCCAAAATGAGGGGCACCTGGGTGGCTCAGTCAGTTGAGCATCCAACTCTTAATTTCGGCTCAGGTCATGGAATTGAACTCAGTGGAGTATGCTTCTCTTCCTCTGCCCCTCCCCTGGCGTGCCCTCTTTCTCTCTCTTTTTCAAATAATAATAATAATTTAAAAAAAAACACCAAAACGCCAAATGTTCAAGAAGTTAAACATTTTAAGTGAATTTTTAAATGTGGAATATACTTGTAATGGAATACTGTTCAGCCATAAAAAATGAAGTTCTTATACATGCTACACCATGGATGAACCTTGAAAGCATGCTAAGTAAAATAAACCAGGCACAAAAGGAAAAATATTGCATGATTCCACTTATATAAAATACATACAATAGGCAATCTCATAGAGAGTAGATCAGAGATTACCAGGAGCTTGTGGGGGGAGCAATGCACAGAATGGAAAATTTTGCTTCAAGTGTACAGAGTTTGTTTGGGTGATGAAAGTTTTAGAAACTGGTGATAACTATACAACACTGTGCATGTAGTCAATGCCACTAAATCGCACACTTAAAAAAGGTTAAAATAGCAAATTTTATATCTATTTTGTCACAATTTTAAAAAGTTAAAAAAATATTTTGGGGCACCTGGCTGGCTCAGTCAGCAGAGCACGTGTCTCAATCTCAGGGACATGAGTTCAAGCCTCACATTGGGCATAGGGCTTATTTAAAAAAAAAAATAGCAATAAAAAAGTCAAACAAAAATTTCAATACCACTATTAAGTTATATTTTTCAATAGTAAAAAATCCTCAGATACATTAACCTATGCATGACAAGTTGTATTCTTATCTGACCTTTGGAGAAACAGAATTTATTCTAAATCTTATTTGAAACATTCATTCAACAAGTAGTTGTTTAATGTTTGTATGTTAGGCTTTAGACGGATAGATGGATAGAAGGAATGAATATAGACAGACCAGCCTATCCCATCTACCTTACAGAAGGATCAAATTAAATAATGTAAAAGTGTTTGAAAATCGTAAGACATTATATGAATATTTTGTTACATATCCCCCCCCAAATTCAAGCTAAAGTTATAATGCTCTGGGAGGAAAAATACTTTTTTTAAAAAATTTTTTATTTATTTATGATAGTCACACAGAGAGGGAGAGAGAGGCAGAGACACAGGCAGAGGGAGAAGCAGGCTCCATGCACCGGGAGCCCGATGTGGGACTCGATCCCGGGTCTCCAGGATCGCGCCCTGGGCCAAAGGCAGGCACCAAACCGCTGCGCCACCCAGGGATCCCCGAAAAATACTTTTAAAAAGGGTAAGTTGTTTGTAAAACCAACTAGAGAGAATTAGTTAATAAAGACTACCCATGTGTTTGAAAAATTATAGATTTATGCATTAAAGATACTGGTGGAATTATCTCTAAGGTTTCCTCCAGCAATAAAAATCTATAATCATTGCTTTGAAGTATTAAGCTTCTATCCTGAAAAATAAAACAAAAAAACAAATTCCTGAGTTAGATTGTCGGAGCTTTTAATTCTATACCTTATTATATTTTTTACCTTTAATAACTTTTTTGAAATCAAACTTTCTTTTTAAGATTTTATTTATTTATTCATGAGAGACACAGAGAGAAAGAGAGGCAGAGACACAGGCAGAGGGAGAAGCAGGCTCCATGCATGGAGCCTGAAATGGGACTTGATCCCAGATCTTCACCATCACGCCCTGGGCTGAAGGCGGTGCTAGACCACTGAGCCACGCGGGCTGCTCTCAAACTTTATTTTCCAAGTGCATTAATGTGGAAAAGGCTTCCCAAAACAGAGCAATTCTGAATTGCTAGTTTTTGTTTACTCTTCCCAAAATGAGGGGTGCCTGGTTGGCTCAGTCGGATAAGCATCCGCCTTAGGCTCAAGTCATGATCCCAGGGTCCTGGGTCCTGGGATCGAGCCCCACATCAGGCTCTCTGCTGGGTTGAGAGCCTGCTTCTCCCTCTTCCTCTGCTTGTTGCTCCCCTTGCTTGTGCTGTCAAATGAATAAAAAATTTTTTTTAAAGATTTTATTTATTCACAAGAGACGCAGAGACACAGGCAGAGGGAGAAGCAGGCTCCTCATGGGGAGCCAGATGCTGGTACTCGATCCGGGGACTCCAGGACCTCGCCCTGAGTGGAAGGCAGATGTTCAACTGCTGAGCTACCTAGGTGTCCCAAGAATGAGTAGTTTTTAAAGTAGACTATTAATGGCCTGTGCCTATGTTGTACTAATTGTGGCCAGGGCATTGCAAAACATGGAATTGATATAATATGGTGGAAATAAATGTTTTTTTGTGTGTGCAAGTGTATCTATGTGTATAAATGAATTACCAGAAAGGATGATAGCAGTGGCATGAAAAGGAGTAAAAGCCAATATACATCTTTTGGATTTACCACACTGCCCAACCACAAAATGAAAAATGGATGCAATCATTGGTTAACCAGGAGGTGAGGCCTTTAACTGACTTACTGGTTGTAGTAGGTGGCAAATGTATAAATCCTGTAATGATAGATATTCCATCAAAGTGGAAGTTAAAACAGAAGAGACTGGGGAAAAATTTATACTTACATACATTTTATAATTAAGAAAGAATAATAGTCCTTGAAAAATAAAACTTTCAAAAAACTAAGGAACTATCATTTCTTTTTGTATCTTTTACCCTTTCACTCTCATAAACGGGAATGACCATCTATGAATACGGTTAAAAATGGCAACAAGTCTGTCCCAGTGCTTTCCAAACTTTAATGTGTATATTTATCACCTAAGGATCATTATTTCTTAAATCGTGTTACCATATAAATTGAAGGGGCTGAATTAGGACTCCCCCAAAACATTTACAACCTAATTCTGGAATTTGTGAATGTTAATTTACACGCGAAAGGCACTTTGCAGATATGAATAAGGGCCTTGAGATAGAAGTATTATCCTGGGTTATCTGAGCCCTAAGTGTAATCACAAGAGTCCTATAAAAGGAAGGTAGGAGACAGTTGGAAAATGGCAATTGAAAAAAACTGGAGAGAGAGATTGGAAGATGCTACACTGCTGTCTCTGAAGATGGGCTATGAGCCAAAGAATGCAGGCAGCCTCTAGAAGCTAGAAAAGGCAAGAAAATGGATTTTCCCTGCACTCTCCAAAAGGAATACAGGCTTGCTGACACCTTCTTTTTAGCCCTATGAAACTGATTTCAGACTCCAGAAATGTAAGATAATAAGTCTGTATTCTTTTAAGCTGCTAAATCTGTGGTAATTCTTTACAGCAATACAAATCATAATTTGAATTTCCTTAAAAAAAGAACTTGTATGCTTATTAGCAGCATTGTTTATAACACTAAAAATACAGTAATAACTAAAACTCCTAAAAAGTTTAAGATTATACACAACCATTAAAAACTATCATAGAAAAATTATATGGAGCACAAGAGGATACAGTAGGCTCTTTAAACAGGTAACCATATAATTTTGAAATTTTTTATGTATTTTATTTTCTATGTTTTTTTTATTTTTTAAAAGATTTTATTTATTCATGAGAGACAGAGAGAGAAGCAGAGACATGGGCAGAGGGAGAAGCAGGCTCCATGCAGGGAGCCCGACGTGGGACTTGATCCCAGGTCTCCAGGATCACACCCTGGGCTGAAGGTGGGGCTAAACCGCTGAGCCACCGGGGCTGCCCTGCTGTTATTTTAAATTTCCATATTTCTACAAACTAAATTCTTTCCAAAATTCATGTTGAAGCCCTAAACTCCAGTGTGTTTATATGTGGAGATAAAGTTTTTGGAGGGTAAATAATGCTAAATGAGGTAATAAAGGTGAAGTCCTAATCTGATAGGACTGGTGGCTTTGTAAAATGAAGAAAGATCTCTTCATGCATGTTCAAGGAAGGGCCTTGTGAGCACTCAGTTAAGTAGGTAGCTGTCTACAAATTTCACCAGAACTACACCATGCAGGCACACTGATCTCTGACTTCTAGCCTCTAATACTGTGAGAAAATTCTGTTAAGTTTATGGTATTTTGTTATTCCAGGCCAAGCAGATGAAGATTTAAGTGTATATTATAACTAGGAAAATAATTATCTTTTTAGCAATAGCAACAATTTTGAAAGGCTATTTTACATAAAGTTTATCTAAAGAGTTGCAAACAAAAAGAAATACACTTGGGACGTCTCGGAGGCTCAGCAGTTGAGCATCTTCCTTCAGCTCGGCATGATCCTGGAGTCCTGGGATTGAGTCCCACATCAGGCTCCCTGCATGGAGCCTGCCTCTAAAAATCTTAAAAAAAAAAAAAAGAAAAAAAAAAAAAAGAAATACTCTTAGCTTTATCTATATTCCAGGTCCTATAGTTTTTTTTTTTTTTAAGATTTTATTTATTTATTCATAGGCACAGAGAGAGAGGGGCAGAGACACAGACAGAGGGAGAAGCAGGCTCCATGCAGGGAGCCCGACATGGGACTTGATCCCAGGTCTCCAGGATCACACCCTGGGCTGAAGGCAGATAGATGCTCAACCACTAAGCCACCCAGGTGTTTGTAAAGATTTTATTTATTTGAGATAGAGTAAGAGAGAGCAAGCATGAGCTTGGTGGTGGTGGGGGGAGGGTGTACCAGAGGGAGAACCAGACTCCCTGCTGAGCAGAGAACCGGATGCAGGGCTCCATCCCAGGATCCCGGGATCATAACCTAAGCCAAAGGTAAATGCTTAACTGACCTGACTGAGCCACCCAGGTGCCCAAGAATAATTGTATTTTTAAAATTTCATAAATTTAGTGTTCCATCTGGGACAGGAAATAACCAATTGTCACTAATATCTGGAGAATATGGTTGTCACAGTATATAACATTCAATTATTTAAATACTGGAAACCAAAGTAAATTTTGTGAATGAATTGAGAAGTACTAAGAAGAATCAGGTGCCAAAACATTTTTAGATGATTTTAAAAGCACTCAAGAATTCAAAATTTTAATTTATTCAAACAGTGTTAAGATTATTCAAAAGAAAATGTCAATACATCTAGAATTCTAGAATGGATCACACCATGTTTCAAAAATGTTGAAATAAATGTCAGTTTATCAACTTGACTATTCTGGAAGATGAATGTTCTAGAAAATTTCCAGATAGGGTAACAGTTCCAAAGTCCTTCCTTTAAAGTAACATAAAAATTAAACAAATAACTTAGATTTTTAGGGCAGCCCTGATGGCGCAGCGGTTTAGCACCGCCTGCAGCCTGGGGTGTGATCCTGGAGACCTGGGATCGAGTCCCACATCGGGCTTCCTGCATGGAGCCTGCTTCTTCCTCTGCCTGTGTCTCTGCCTCTCTCTCTCTGAATAAATAAATAAATCTTTAAAAAAAATAATAACTTAGATTTTTAGACTGGAGTCACTAAAATCAGATTGGTCGGGCAGCCTCGGTGGCTCAGCGGTATAGCGTTGCCTTCAGCCCAGGCAATACAGCAATACAATACCCGGGCAATACCCGGGATCGGGTCCCTGCATCAGACTCCCTGCATGGAGCCTGCTTCTCCCTCTGCCTCTGCCTCTGTCTCTCATGAGTAAATAAATAAAATCTTTAAAAAAATCAGATTGGGGGGATCCCTGGGTGGCGCAGCGGTTTGGCGCCTGCCTTTGGCCCAGGGAGCGATCCTGGAGACCCGGGATCGAGTCCCACGTCGGGCTCCCGGTGCATGGAGCCCGCTTCTCCCTCTGCCTGTGTCTCTGCCTCTCTCTCTCTCACTGTGTGCCTATCATAAAAAAAAAAAAAAAAAAAAAAAAAAAAAAAATCAGATTGGTCATCTAAAATTTGTATCCTACCATTAAAAACGAATACAATATGCTGACTCACATGCTGGCTTCTCTTTATAATAATAAAAACAAGCCTTTTTCTTTTTTTATAGTTTTATGGTTTTATTAACATAAATATGTGCACATAAGCCGTCTATTCATTTTCTTTGCTGTGCAGCCTGGCATTGGGATTGGTGACTGTGATAGCCAGCTGGTCTGCTCTTTCTACAGTGGCTGTGTGATTCTTGGAGATGTTGTGAGCAATCTCTGCACAGTAAGATATGTTGCACATCAGCAGCACTTCATTCCTTGACGTTTTGGACTAGGAACTTCCGGAATGCACTAGGCAGCATGTGTTCTATTCTTTTGCTGCTCCTGTAACCAATGCTGGGCATCAAGATCTGGCCCTTGAATCTTCTGTACACTCTACTGTCAACGCCTCTGGGTTTCTGCCAGTTGTGCTTAATTTTGATATATTGGCCTGACCAATGCTGGATGAACTTCTTGGTCCTCTTTTTAAGGGTCTTGGCCTTCACCAGAGGTCTGCAGGGAGCCATGATACGAAGGAAGAGACAGCTCAAAAACAGGGCATTTTTAAGAATTATCAAAACTGGGATCCCTGGGTGGCGCAGTGGTTTGGCACCTGCCTTTGGCCCAGAGCACGATCCTGGAGACCTGGGATCAAATCCCACGTCGGACTCCCGGTCCATGGAGCCTGCTTCTCCCTCTGCCTGTGTCTCTGCCTCTCTCTCTCTGTGTGACTGTCATAAAAAAAAATAAAAAAAAAAATCAAAACTGGGCAGCCCTGGTGGCACAGAGGTTTAGCGCCACCTGTAGCCCAGGGCGTGCCTGGAGACCTGGGATCGAGTCCCACGTCAGGCTCCCTGCATGGAGGCTGCTTCTCCCTCTGCCTGTGTCTCTGCCTCTTTCTCTCTCTCTATCTCTCATGAATAAATAAATAAAATCTTTAAAAAAAAAAAAAAAGAATTATCAAAACTATATTTAAGGAGGAGAACACATCAGGAATGTGAAAATAAATTTTTCTTTTTAGGATTTTCTATGTAATTAACATAGAAAAGAGGAAAAAACAGTCCTAATGATAAGTTCAGATTGGTGACATGAGATCAGCTTTCCACATTTGCAAAAACACAATACCTGTATCATCTCTGCTGACTGCTACTAAAATGAAAACCAGGCAAAATATAATTGGAGAACTGCTTTAGAAAAATTTAGAAAATTATACTCATTGTTTTTCACACTCACTTCATATGCTCTTGATTCATATAAGCCATACTGTGTGTTTTTATTTCAAAGTAAAGAATCTACTACTTGTATATATTACATCTCACAGAATCAACACATATGTATACTTTAAGACTAGTCTTTGGATTCCTATTCTTCCTCTGATTCTCGCGACCGTTTCCGGGAATTCAATGAACCTTCTGTTTGCATAGAACATGCAGTAGCAACAACAGCATCTCTAAATCCTTGAGGCTGGAAGATAAAAAAAATATATAAGTATGATTTAAGAATATCTAAAATAACAATTGGAGGACACCTGGGGGGCTCACTAGTTGAGTGTCTGCCTTCAGCTCAGGGTATGATACTGGAGTCCTGGGATGGGGTCCTGCATCAGGCTCCTCATAGGGAGCCTGCTTCTCCCTCTGCCTATGTCTCTGGCTCTCTCTCTCTCTGTGTCTCTCATGAATAAATGAATAAAATCTTTAAAAATAAATAAATAACAATTGGTTTTCCAAATATTTTTAAGTAACTGATAAAAGAGCTACTTTATTCTTGAGACAGAAGTTATTAACTACTGTGAATGAACAGGTTAAACCTCAGAAATAGGTGTCCAAGCCAGCACTGTAATACTAGTGTATTTTATATCTAGAGTATCTTGTATCTGTATATTTATTTACTTATATATTTACTTACACATACACACAGAGAAATAACAGTGCATTATAAAAGTGTACTCTAAAAGAAAATAGTTTTTTTAAGATTTTATTTATTTGAGAGAGGGAGAACCTATGCATGCAATGCATGGGGGGAGGGGCAATGGCTGGAGAAGCAGGCTCTCCGCCTAGCAGGGATCTCCGGCCCAATGTGGGACTCGAACCCAGGATCATGACTTGAGCCGAACCAACTGAGCCATGCACATGCCCCAAAAATCTTGACAAACTTTATGGTGGCTCTACTGAAGATGTAAAAAGAAGTAACATGTACTAATTACTTAGGTGCTTTACAACTTTATTTTCACAATTAAATACTCTAAAGCATTCCCATTAGGATACTTTAAATGCACCTAAGCAGTACAAAGACTAAATTGATAATTCAGTTTGAGAATCTTTCTATTTCTGTTTTTGTCCTTAAAAAATAAGATGCCAAGACTATATATGACTCAACACTACTGATAAATATGCATTTTTCAGCCAAAAGAGTGTGTTCTATGAGTTTAAATTATAGGGAAATTAACATTTTATGGCAGGATATATTTGGTGGCTATGACAGATCTATAATATCTACAGACTAAAATTACTTAAGAGTAATGTTAGTATTTTTTTCTTGGAAAATCTTTAACAACGTTCACTTTAAAAATTTTTAATATCCTGACATTGCATATGGCATGGAACACGCTAGCCTACATACAAATAAGTATTTCCTCTGTTCTTAAGAATAAATTTCAGTCCAGTTGTGACTAGAATATTCTGTATATATACTATTTTGGGGATAATGTTCTAAGCATCAAAAGCTGTCCTCAAATATGCTTGCTGCCTACATAAGTTAACAGAAGCAATTTGTAAATGCTCTCTTCAGATAATTACTGCCCACCATCACCAAAATCCCACTCTAATCAAATAATACTGACTGTGATTTGAAACAGTACTGTAGATTCCTTCTGGCTTGGTGATTTGTACAATGTTGCCAACCTGCTTAGAGAAAAAAAATAAATATACACAAACACATGATCTTAATTAGTTCAGATGACTGATTTAATAATTTAAATTTATAGTTTTTTTCACTACAATTCTATTGTTTTGTTCCCGAAGGACACAGAAAGCAAAGAAATATCTAAAAGACTCCTTTGATCAATAGCTGTAATGTGTGTGTATAATTATTACATATAATAACAATAAAGTTGTTTACATAAGTGGAATTTTATTTTACTTTTTAAAAGATTTTATTTTTATTTTGAGAGAGAGAGCAAGCGCATACAGAGGAAAGGAAGAAGCAGACTCCCAGGTGAACAGAGAGCCTGATGCAGGGCTCAATCCTAGGACCTTGAGAAATTGAAAATGTGAGCCAAAGACAGTTTACTGACTGAGGTATCCAGGCACCCCTACATAAATGGAATTTTAAAGCAACCAAAAAAACAAACAAAAAATAAAAAATAAAGCAACCTAAATGTCCAATAACCAATTCAAATAAATTTCTATAAGTATATTTTATATTTATATATTAAGTATATATTAATATATTTTAAGTAAAAGTTACGCCGTATGAGCCCACATTTATGAGTAAACATGTATAGAAAAAATACTACAAGACTACAATCAAGGGATGCCTGGGTGGCTCAGTGGTTGAGCGTCTGCTTTTGGCTTAGGTCGTGATCCTGGAGTTCCGGGATTGAGTCCCACTTCAGGCTCCCAGTGGGAAGCCTGCCTCTCCCTGGGTGACGCAGCGGTTTGGCGCCTGCCTTTGGCCCAGGGCGCGATCCTGGAGACCCAGGATCGAATCCCACGTCGGGCTCCCGGTGCATGGAGCCTGCTTCTCCCTCTGCCTGTGTCTCTGCCTCTCTCTCTCTCTCTCTGTGACTATCATAAATAAATAAATAAATAAAAATTAAAAAAAATAAAAATAAAAAAATTTAAAAAATAGTTAAGTTGTTATTACAAGATAAAGGTTGCTTTTTTGTTTGTTTTTCCAACTTTCTGCAGTAACTGTGTACTTTTTGTGTGTTAGGATACAAGTATTAAGACAATTTCTTGGGATATAAATGAAGAACACATACTCATATCATACTAATACAAATAATCAAGAAGATATATTCTTAAAAATTATTATGTCCAAAAGAATCACTGTCAGATTCTGTCATGACAGAACAAAGTCTGTTTAGGTATATTCTTATTATATAGTCCACAAAGTAATATAAAACTGAAAGCTGAAAGTACTTAGATTTAAAATTCTAAGCTCTGGGATGCCTAGATGGCCCAGCAGTTGAGCATCTGCCTTTGGCTCAAGGTGTGCTCCTGGAGACCCGGGATCGAGTCCCACATCGGAGCCTCCTTCTCCCTCTGCCTGTATCTCTGTCTCTCTCTCTGTCTTTCATGAGTAAATAAATAAAATCTTTAAAAAAATAAAAATAAAATTCTGAGCTCTTATTTAACTTTGCTCAAATATTGTAATATTAATAAATATAAGTGGGACGCCTGGGTGGCTCAGTGATTGGGTGCCTGCCTTTGGCTCAGATCGTTATCCTGGGATCCAGGATTGAGTCCTGCATCGGGCTCCCTGCGAAGAGCCTGCTTCTCCCTCTGCCTAGGTCTCTGTTTCTCTATCTCAGTCTGTGTCTTTCATGAATAAATGAATGAATCTTTTAAAAATAAATAATAAAGCAAAAACTTTTATTAAATTATTAAAACAAATTTTTAATTGAGTAATCTCTATGCTCAACGTGGGGCTTGAACTTCTGACCCCAAGATCAAGAGGCACATACTCTACAGACTGAGCTAGCAAGGTGGCCTAAGCAAAAACTTTTTTTTAAAGATTTTATTTATTTATTTATTTGAGAAAGAAAGCAAGAAAGAGAGAGCAGGAGCAGAGTGATGGGCAGAGGGAGAGGCAGACTCCCCACTGAGCAGGGAGCCCAATGTGGGGCTTGATCCTGGGACTCCAGGATCATGACCTGAGCCAAAGGCAGATGTGACTGAGCCACCCAGATGTGACTGAGCCACCCCAAACTTTTTCTTTAATATTTTATTTATTAATATTATCTTATTATTAATATTATCTTATTTGAGAAAGCGGGGGAGGGTAGAAGGAGAAGGAGAGAATCTTAAGAAACTCCACACTAAGCACGGAGCCAGACATGGGGCTCAATCTCACAACCCTGAGATTAACCAAGAGTTGGATGCTTCGTCAATTAAGCCATTCAGGTGCCTCCTAAGCAAAAACTTTTAAAGTATCTTTCAAAATAACTTTAAAACTGGAATGCCTGAGTGGCTCAGTGGTTGAGCGTCTGCTTTTGGCTCAGGGTATGATCCCGGAGTCCCAGGATCAAGCCCCATATCAGGCTCCCTGCATGAAGCCTGCTTCTCCCTCTGCCTATGTCTCTGCCTCTCTCTCTCTCTCTCTCTCTTTATTAAAAGATTAATAAAATCTTTTTTAATAATGTAGTTTATACATATAATGGCATATTAATTAGTCTTGAAAAGGAAAGAAATTCTTGTCACATGTAACAATGAATATTGAAAACTATGCTAAGTGAAAAAAAGGCCAGACACAATAGGACAAATATTGTATCATTCCACTTACACGAGGTGCCCACAGTAGTGAAATTCATAGACAGAAGGTAGAATACTGTTGCTACAGGCTGGGGGAGGGGAGAATAGGCAGCTCATGTTAAATGGGAACAGTTTCAGTTGGGGAAGATGAAACGTTCTGGAGATGGATGGTGGTGATGACTGCACAATAATGTGAATGTACTTCATGCCACTAACTGTACACTTAAACGATTAAACTAATACATTTTATGATATGTACAATTTACCACAATTTAATTAAAAAAATAAATTTTTAAGTGGCCCTATACCCAACATGGGGCTTGAACTCACAACCCCAAGATCAAGAGTTGCATAATCTACCAACTGCGCCAGCCAGGTGCCCCACAATTTACCAGTTTTAAAAAACTGATATAACTGCACAAAATGCAGATTCTACCTTAGAGAAAAATCATAAACTCTCAGAGTTAAAAGGGTCATTTATTTACATATAATATTGACTTCCTTTTTTACTGGCTGCTTGGTGTTTATTTTTTACTTGGTTCAAGGCACTTGGTTATAGGCTACCAAGAAGGCTTGAGTGTGGCTTGGATAGTAAACAATCGGTTTCTCTCATCTGTCTTGCTGTTTTGTTTTGTTTTTTAAACATTTTTTTTAAGATTTTATTTATTTATTCATGAGAGACAGAGACAGAGAGGGGGGTGGTGGCAGAGAGAGAAGCAGGCTCCATGCAGGGAGCCTGACATGGGACTCGATCCTGGGCCTCCAGGATCAGGCCCTGGGCCGAACGCAGTGCTAAACCACTGAGCCACCCGGGCTGCCCCAGTTTTGGGTTTTTTAAAGATTTTATTTATTTATTTATTTACGAGAGACACAGAGAGAGAGAGGCAGAGACAGGCTCCTTGTGAGGAGCCTGCTACAGGACTCAATCCCAGGACCCCAGGATCATGACCTGAGCCAAGGGCAGATGCTCAACTGCTGACCCACCCAGGTGCCCCTGGGTTGATAATTCTAACTTTAATACAAAATATAACAGAAAAATTAGGGTGCCTGGCTGGCTTAGTTGGTAGAGCATGTGACTCTTGACCTCCAAGTTGTAAGCTGCAACCCCAGTTTGGGCACAGAGATGACTTTAAAAAATTAAAAATAAATAAATAAAAGTTATATATATATATATATATATGCATATATATATATATATAAGAAAAACAGAGACATGGTGTATTTTAATCTGCCTTATTTAAAAAATCTTTTTGATTGAATAAAACAAAAATTAGCTAAACTTATTCTGAAAAAATTAGTACCTAAATCACCTCATATTACCATATGTCCAAAAAAGATACATTTGAATTTTCTTTTTTCTTTTTCTTAAGATTTTTTTTATCTGACAGAGAGAGAGAAAAAGCAGGAGAAGCAGTAGGCAGAGGGAGAGGGATAAGTAGGCTTCTTGCTGAGCGGAAAGCCCAATGTGGGGCTCAATCCCAGGACTCTGATATCATGACCTGAGCCAAAGGCAGACGCTTAACCAACTGAGCCACCCGGTGTCTCACATCTGAATTTTCTGAGAAAATTATTTAAAAAGTAAATAAGCTTTTAAGAAGCTTTTACATATTTATTAAAAATCCTAAAGTCAAGTGGGCACTAAATATTCAGGGTGAAAAACTTCCTCAAATTCCTAGGTAAAAATAAGATTTTATATTTCATATCTGCATTTCAAGAGATCTTTTTAAACAAATTGAACCAAAGAATCACTTGGCTCATGGCCTCAGCTGAGATGAAGCTTATTAACATATGGCTGAACTACAGTTTGGGTCAGGAAGAAATAAGACAGAAGCACAATTTGTGCTCTAAAGCTGAGCACACATATGAAACACTGTGTGGGGGTGTTGATATATTACTCCATTCTACCACCAGATCTTCTTGGCAAAAAGTGATATAATTTTGAACAATCTCAGTCTCATGTTATCATGAATATGCAAATGGAGGAAAACCCCACACAATATACAGGACAGAGACAAAAGTACTTATTTGAATAACTGTTGGAGTGTCATTTCATTGTTAATCAAAAGGTAAAACTCAGGTGTTTCCGGTGAAAGAGGGAGACTGGAACATAAGATGGGACACTAAGGTTCAACTCTCAATATAAATTTGGCTACTTAAGGTTTTTAGTTTTCTGCTTAAACTGGAAGTGTTCATTTTTATAACTATTTTCCCAGTGTGAATTTCTATTTTTGTCCTTTCAAGATAAACTAAATTTTAAAACACATACAAGATTTCATACAACTTTAATGACTTAATAATAACTGGTCTGTCTCTTTTTTTTTTAAGATGACTGGTTTCAAACAATGAAGAACAAAACTATTTTAATTCTAATAAATGAGGTCAACTTATTTTAATTATAATAAAGTATGCACAATACTTATCATATATCCCCAGCCGGGGGGGGGGGGGGGCGGGAAACAGTTTGGAGAAAAGGGATTTTATCTAAAAATGAGAATAAGAGCTATACTTTCAGATTTGCTGGCAATCAACACAATACTTTAATTCCATTGTAGAAACAGCAGTTTTAGGAAAAGAAACAGACTCTATTATATAGTCAGCTATAAAATGTGGATACTACTACTAATTTCATAGTTATTTGGAAAATAAAAATATATACTATAAAAAATATATACTATATATATATGCACACACATATATAATGCTTTTTAGCACAATAAAGGACAGTTAATAAATATTCAAAAGAATGGTGGTTATTAATTACTCTTAGTTAATCTGTCTGGGCAGCCTTGGTCTTCTCACCTCTATGTACATATAGATCCTTCAGAGTTATTGAAGGGAATTTATGAAATGTATATTAACTGCCCAGTTAAGTACCTAGCATAAGCAAGCAGTCACTAAAATCATAGTCTGGGATATAGAAAAAACTTATGGAACAGATTTCCCCTACATCTATCTAATTCAATGTCAGTCTTCAACACCATTCTCCAATTTCTTGGAAAGGATGAGTGAGAAGCTGAAAGTCACAAGATGGCTAACTCTTAAAGAGTAAGCATGATTTTCTGATCTCATGGATACCCAACCAATGCTAACTTCTAGAATTTGACAAAGAAGGCAAACATCTTCTGATGAGTGCATTAAAAGATGAAACAATCTTGCTTTGCTTATATTATTTTTATTTTTTAGATATACTCTATTAGTGAATATTTAATAGTAGAATAAGAGTGGGATGACCACCACTATATACTAGTTCAAGGAGAATTCCTAAAAACATTTGAACAGTGGGATGCACTTTACAGAAAACCTCAATCTGGGGGGCCTGGTTGCTCAGTTAAACATCTGCCTTCAGCTCAGGTCATGATCCCAGGGCCTGGAATACAGTCCTGCACTGGACTCCCTGCTCAGTGGAGAATCTGCTTTTCCCTCTGTCCCTCCCCGTGCTCATGAGCATATGTACACACACTCTTTTTTGCTCACGCACTCACTCTCTCTCTCAAAAATAAATAAAAAATATTAAAAAAAGAAAGAGGGGAACCCTGGGTGGCTCAGTGGTTGGGCGCCTGCCTTCGGCCCAGGGTCTGATCCTGGAGTCCCGAGATCGAGTCCCACATCGGGCTCCGTGCATGGAGCGAGCTCCTCCCTCTGCCTGTGTTTCTGCCTGTCTCTCATGAATAAACAAACAAACAAACAAACAAATAAATGATTAAAAAAAAAAAAAAGAAAAGAAAGAAAACCTGAATCTGGGAAAGTATAAGCAGTATGTTCAATATGTTCTGGAGAACTGTTGCCAAATATTTACAATAGGGTTTGTTGTTGAGGAAAGAATTCCTTTTGTGATCCAGAATACAATGACTTATTTACAGAACTGGGGGATAGAAGTCAATTGTAAAGCAATAAGTTTTATTGGGGGGGGTGGCGGAAAAGAGGTACCTGAGCTCTTTGGAAATGACATTTTTATTTTTTATTTTATTTATTTATTCATGAGAGACACAGAAAGAGAGAGGCAGACTCCATGTAGGAAGAAGCCCAATGTGGAACTTGATCCTGGGTCTCCAAGATCACGCCCTGGGTGTGAAGGCAGGCAGTAAACCACTGAACCACCCAGGGAACCCCCAGGAAATGACATTTTTATTTTTATTTTTTTGGAAATGACATTTTTAAAAGAGACACAAACCACATGCATTAGTTTCAAAACATGTACATAAGTGTAATATATTCTGCTATGAACTCAGAGTAAGTAAGACCTAATTTGGTCAGGCATGATTTTTTTTAGTTAGGAAAAGAACAAAGAAATATTGGTAAAGAACTAAGACAGTGGGATCCCTGGGTGGCGCAGCGGTTTGGCGCCTGCCTTTGGCCCAGGGCGCGATCCTGAGACCCGGGATCGAATCCCACGTCAGGCTCCCGGTGCATGGAGCCTGCTTCTCCCTCTGCCTGTGTCTCTGCCTCTCTCTCTCTCTCTCTCTCTCTCTCTCTCTGTGACTATCATAAATAAATTTAAAAAAAAAATTAAAAAAAAAAGAAAAAAAAGAACTAAGACAGTATCACTGACCAGACCTGATATATATTTAAGCAACCCTTTTTTTCCATCTTTGTCCACATGCTTTCTCAATTTCTTCCTTTCATCACAGTATTTCCAAACCAAGTTCTTTCAATTATACAAATTAACCTCAAAGCACAGGGGGTGGCATAAATCTGACATTTCTAGAAGTGTAGAATAAAAAAACTCCAAAGCTTTCATTTGCCTATTTTAAAGAAAATGAAAGCTGGTTTGTTCACTTGCTCAGCAGCTTTAAAAACAAATACAAAGGTTTCATGCTGTCATAGTTTTATTTTAAAGAACAATACTTGTGAAAGGCAGGTAAGTAACTGGGTAACAGAAGTAGGATAACAAAATACAAAAGAAAACAAAAATAGACACAATTTCATACAAGAAATATATTAAGCAACTAGGAAAAACCATCCTATTTTCCACATAAATTAGTCCAAAAGCTAACCTCAGAAGTTTTCCTTTTGTCCTGATTTTATTCTTTTTTCAATCCTTTCTAGGAACATAGAGTACCTACCTCCTTTTGCAAGGCTAATAAATGGTACTTGATTTCAAAGAGCTATAGAAGGTAGCATTCTTTGGCCACCTACTCATTTCAGGTGCACCCCATCATTTAAATATTCCAAAGAACTTCCTATGTTAGCTCAATGTGCAGTTTAACAACATGTTTCTATATTTTCTCTAGGTTATGAAGGACAAGGCAACAAAAACTCTCATTCATGAGGCACTATAGATGTCATCCACTGTTGTAGATATAAGAAAATATAACTGTTCAGTGTAATTAACCCAATATTTAGAATTATTAACCTGTTTCTATACTGACCTTTGCTTTTGGTCCCAGTGAAAAATTAGCCGTATTGTAGCAGCATGTCCCCAACTTTCCCCTAGTGGGAACAAGAACAAAACAACTGTAAACTGCCTTAGTGACAAGGCTATTAAGTCTCTCTCAGAATGCCTCTGACCAAAACAGTTTTACTTTACCTAATTTAACACAAGAATATACTTATACTTTTAAAACCCCTGTACACATGGGTAACATCCTGAGATTAATAAATTTTTACCTATCTTTAGAAATAGATCATTATCCTTTGTTTTTGCTTTCAGAAAACTTTATAGTTTGAGTCAACATTTTGTCAATCTTCCATTATCAGAACTACTAACAACATATTTCTGGCTACTGGAAGGAAAGCAAAACTCTGACAAAATGTTGTTAAAGAATTTAGCAAAAGAAAAATCTCGAAGGACTGTATCCTAACAAAACCATGACTGGGGGATCCCTGGGTGGCGCAGCGGTTTAGCGCCTGCCTTTGGCCCAGGGCGTGATCCTGGAGACCCGGGATCGAATCCCACGTCGGGCTCCCGGTGCATGGAGCCTGCTTCTCCCTCTGCCTGTGTCTCTGCCTCTCTCTCTCTCATTCTATGTGACTATCATAAATAAATAAAAATTAAAAAAAAAATTTAAAAAAAAAAAAAAAAACCATGACTGAGGTTAGGAAGAGCCATAAGTCTATTCACTGTATGTGAATTTTAATGAATTCACCATTCCTCCTGCCTAAGACTTTCTAAAGGCAAGAGTCATCTTATGAAGATTTATATGCTCGGTACCTGACACAATAGTTGCCAAACAGTAAATGCTCAATAAATGTTTATTAAATAACTAAAACAATGAGTCAATATCTAAAGGTATTGTGCTCCACACTAAGACTTACTTTTTATTTTTTAGAAAGCATTTCCTTTTCTTTTAAGATTTTATTTATTCATGAGAGACATAAGCGGAGGGAGAAGCAGGCGCCATGCAGGGAACCTGATGTGGGACTTGATCCCAGGTCTCCAGGATCAAACGCTGGGCTGCAGGCGGCACTAAACCGCTGAGCCACCCGGGCTTCCCCACACTGAAACTTATTAGTGAATAAGACTAATACACTCTCTGCTTTTGTGGAGCTGATAGTAGTCAATAAGCATCACGTGAAAGAGGGAGAAAAAAAATGTGCTAAATTTAAAATGCTTATCTGGGGGCACCTGGTTGGCTCTCAGAAGAACATGTGACCCTTAACCTTGAGGTTGTGAGTTCAAGCCCTATGATGGTTATAGAGATTACTTAAATAAATACAAAACTTTAAAAAAAAGCTTATATGATTAAATACCCACCCAATGGGGGAATCCCTGGGTGGCGCAGCGGTTTGGCGCCTGCCTTTGGCCCAGGGCGTGATCCTGGAGACCTGGGATCGAATCCCACATTGGGCTCCCAGTGCATGGAGCCTGCTTCTCCCTCTGCCTGTGTCTCTGCCTCTCTCTCTCTCTCTCTGTGACTATCATAAATAAAAAAAAAAAAAAGAAAAGAAAAAATACCCACCCAATGCAGGAACCAGCAAGGCCTGATTTCTATCAATCTTTGTTGTCATCTGATTTGTTAAAAGTACCTAAAAAAAAGTGAGAAAATTAGGTGAATATCTCCTCAAAATTATCAAGGAAGTAGTTCTGAATTAGTATTCAGTTTTAGCATTCTGAATACAATTTGAAGAAAAATATATTTAGGTAATGAGAACTTTTCTGATAAATTTTTTAAATTTGCCCATAAAAATTATCTGAAAACATGATTCTATTGAACATAAACATTTTAATAGATAAGAACAATTGTGAAAATGGAAGAATAAAAATATAACAGATAATACATAAAAGTGTAAAGAGACTACATATAAGAAGTTCATAACTGGGACACCTGGGTGGTTCAGAGGTTGAGCATCTGCCTTCGGCTTGGAGTGTGATCCCAGAGGCCTGGGAACGAGTCACACGTCAGGCTCCCTGCAGGAAGCCTGCTTCTCCCTCTGCCTGTGCCTCTGCCTCTCTGTGTCTCTCATGAATAAATAAATAAAATCTTAAAAAAAAAAGTTCATAACTGGGAGTTATCGGAAAAACCTCACTTTTAAAATTTAAGTTTTGGATAAGCCAAGAGAAACCACCAGACCAATAGCAGCAATCTCAGTAGTGATAATAAACATTTACTGAGTACTTAAAACATGCCAGAAACTATGCTAAGTGCTTTACCTTCATTACCGTATCTAGCCTTCACAACTACTCCATGAATGAGGTATTATTAGTTTTTGATATTATTTCAGTTTAACACACGAGAAATCAGAAGCTTAGAAAGATTGAGTCTGGCTTTTTTTTATTTTTTGTTACCACTGTTGCCTTTCCAGAATATATTTAATTAAAAGAGTGTGAGATACTTAATAAATAATTCACTGTTTGCATCTTTACAAAAGAGACAAATACACTACTACCATTTCTGGTTTTACAGGGGGAAAAAAAAGAAATTGAGGCAAAAATTATGAGAAAAGACTTAAAATCATAAAGAAAATATAGAAGAAGTGGCAAAAAATAAAACCCAGTGTTCAGGTCAATTGACTCCAAATTATAACTATACTAGTCTGCTAATAATAGATATAGCTGTTGCTTTACTCATAAACGGCCCTCACAGCTAAAAATAATAATTCTTTTGGGTTAAATAATGACCTATAGAAAAGAGTCCATGTTTTAAAAACAGTATTTTTTTTATTTTTAAATTTTAATTCCAGTTCAGTTAACAAAGTATTATATTAGTTTCAGGTATAACAATATAGTGACTCAAGATCTCTGTAAGCATTAACTGTACTCTTTAAAGATTTATTTTAGAGAAAGAGTGAACAAGGGCGGGGGGAGTGCAGAAAGTGAGGAGAGAGAATCCTTGAGCAGACTCCCCACTGAGCTCAGAACCTGATGTGCAGCTTCACCCGAAGACCCTGAGACCTGAGCTGAAACCAAGAGTTGGACACAGAACCTACTGAGCCACCCAGGTGCCCCAAGATAAGTGTACTCTTAATCCTTTTGCTTATTTCGCCCATTTCCCCACCCACCTCCTCTCTGGCAACCATCTGTTTGTTTTCTATAGCTAAGAATCTGGGGGTGCCTAGTGGCTTAGTTGGTTAATTGAAAAGCTCTTGTCTCAGATTAGGTTTTTTTTTTTTTTAAGATTTATTTATTTATTTATCATAGACAGAGAGAGAGAGAGAGAGAGGCAGAGACACAGGCAGAGGGAGAAGCAGGCTCCATGCCGGGAGCCCGACACGGGAATTCGATCCCGGGACTCCAGGATCGCGCCCTGAGCCAAAGGCAGGCACCAAACCGCTGAGCCACCCAGGGATCCCCTCAGATTAGGTCTTGATATCAGGGTCATGAATTCAAGCCCGTGTTGGGCTCCATGCCCAGCAGTCTGATTTTTGGTTTGTCTCTGTTTTTTTTTTTAAAGATTTATTTATTTGAGGGGGAGAGAGAATGCACAAGTGTGGGGTGAGGGGCAGAGGCAAAGTGAAAGAGAGAATCTCAAGCAGACTCCCCATTGAAGGTGGAAGCTGATATGGGACTCAATTCCAAGACCCTAAGATCATGACCCAAGCCAAAACCAAGAGTTGGCTGCTCAACCTCCTGAACCAACCAGGAGGCCCTGGTTTGTCTCTTTATTCTTCCTTTATTCATTTTTTGTGAATTCCACATATGAACGAATCATATGGTATTTGTCTTTTTCTGACTGGCTTATTTTGCTTAGCATTGTACTCTCTAGATTCATCCATGTTGTTGCAGATGGCAAGATTTCATTTGTTATGTCTCAATAATATTCCATTGTGCATGTGTGTATATCACATCTTCTCCATCCATTCATCTGTCAATGGACACTTGGGCTGCTTCCATATCTTAGCTATTATAATCTCCCATAAACATGGGGGCACATATATTCTTTTATTTATTTATTTATTTATTTATTTATTTATTTATTTATTTATATTTTTATTTATTTATATTTTTATTTATTTTTTAATTTTTTTCGTATATTCTTTTAAATTAGTGTTTTCTTATTCTTTGGGCAAACACCCAGTAGTGTGATTACTAGATCATATGCTATTTCTATTTTTAGTTTTCTTGAGGAACCTCTATACTGTTTGCATGCCACAACAGTTTGCATGCCCACCAACAGTGCATGAGGGTTCCTTTTTCTCCACATACTCACCACCACGTGTATTTCTTGTGTTTTATATTTTAGCCATTCTGACAGGTGTAAGGTGATATCTCACTGTGGTTTTGATTTGGTTTCCCTGATGATGAGTGATGCTGAGCATCTTTTCATGTGTCTGTTGGCCATATGCACATCTTCTTTGGAGAAATGTGTGTTCATGTCTTCTGCCTATTTTTAGTTAGATTATTTGTTTTTTGGGTACTGAGCTGTATAAATTTGGGGGTTTTTTTTATACTGCTCTAAAGCCAAGACATTTATTCTGCCCTGTAAATACTGCATTGTATAAATTCCTTATACATTTTGGATACTAACCACTTATCGTATATCATCATTTGCAAGTATCTTTCCCCATTCAGTAGTTGTCTTTTAGTTTTGTTGACTGTTTCCTTTGTTATGCTGAAGCTTTTTATTTGGATGTAGTCCCAATAATTTATTTTTGCTTTTGTTTCTCTTGCCTCAAAATGAAGAACAGTAATTTTAAAGTAGAGAAAAAGGGTGTTTAAGACTGAATACGGGCAGACCCATGGCTCAGAGATTTAGTGCAGCCTTCAGCCCAGGGCATGATCCTGGAGACCCGGGATTGAGTCCCACGTCGGGTTCCCTGCATGGAGCCGGCTTCTCCCTTTGCCTGTGTCTCTGCCTCTCTCTGTGTGTCTCTCATGAATGAATAAATAAAATCTTAAAAAAAAAAAAAAAAAAGACTGAATACAGTAAAAGATTGGCATCTCCCAGCTCCAACTTCTCCAGAAAGAGTTAAATATTCTTCCAATACAGATTTTCCCTCTAGAAATATGACAGATACTACTGAAAGCTGACAGTGTTAAGAACTTCTATGAAAAGCAATGAGAAAAGATACCTACTTTGAAAAAGGCATCAGTTCCATAAGAAAACCAAGAAATAAAAGGCATTTGGCTATTCTCACTGTATTGGTTAACACCCTAAAATTTTTGTTTGTCTATAAGGGAGAAATCTGTGTTCCACTAGATTTCAATTATGCACCAACTGGATGACACGACTTCTAGTTTCTCGTTCCTTAAGTGTCACAGAAGCTTCCTCATGTATTACCTCATGTCTTAGAAAAAGCTAAGCAGCAATTTAAATTGGTGACTGACATCACCAACATGCAGAATAATTCCCTTTACAGACTACCAAGTGTTTAAGCTCTAGCAACTGGGATATTTATTTATACCAACACTTTTTGATTACAGGTGTACTATCCAATCCTGCAGCCATTAGGCACACATACAGCTCTTTAAAATTAAATTAAAATTAGACATTCAGTTAATCAGTAACGCTAAACATTTTCAAGTGTTCAATAGTCATGCAACTGCTGTATTAGACTAAGCATTTTCATCTTCCCCAAAAGTCCTCTCAGACAGCACTGGTTTATAGAGTACAGGTATCCCCTGCTTTTCAAAAGCTCCTGTTATGCCACTTCACTTTTATGAAAGACCTATATTAGTACCTGTTTTTGCTAACCAAAAGAATCCAAAGAGGATTTTCACTTTTACAAAAAATAAAAGAAAAAAAAGTGAAAAGCAAATATAGTATTCAGCATTTGAAAAAAAACTCTTATAAAAGCAGAGTGCACCCAGGCAGGGAAAGCACCATCACCAAGCTCCTTCCCCGAGTAATGACACTCAGCATCTTAGCATCAAGCTGCCATAGCTTTGAACTGTGTGGGTGAGCATCTGTGCTTTATCTTGATTTACTTTGTGCATTCATTAGCAACATCTGTCCTAAGGTATCAGAAAAATTATTTTTTGAGTCTGGGAACGCTAAAACAATTTTCCATAAAAATTACTGGTTAACTGCTTCTTTGCTTTATACCTTTTGGCTTACCAAAGGTTTTTGTTAGAATGCTCTACTTTTGGATAGTGAGGGAAACCTGGATTTAATTTACCCACTACATCTCTTGAGGAAAATGTAAATAGATGCACTGGCTTGCCAACTGTTAAACAACCCAAAATCAGAATTTGCACCTTTAGCAATTACTTATAAAAGAATTACATGACCTCTGAAAAAAATGTTGGGTTTACCATGATACTAAAGAATGAATCTTTAAAATAGCACAGTAGCAATCACTTTTGAATTATGAAGTTCGCTGCTTTAAAAATACTTGTTACCCAAATGTCCTTCAATTGATGAATAAACAAAATGTGATATACTAAGAAAATGCAAAGTTAATCGGTCATTAAAAGGATACTGATACATGCTACAACATGGATGAATCTTGCAAATATGCTAAGTGAAAGAAGCCAGAAATAAAAGTTCATATACTGAATGATTTTATTTATATAAAGTACCCAGAAAAGACAAGATACATACAAATAGAAAGCAGACTAATAGTTCTTAGGGACTGACAAGAGGGTGCAATGAGGAAAGATGACTAATGGGTACATGATTTTTTTTAAATATATTTATTTATTTATTTATTTATTTATTTATTTATTTATTTATTTATTTATTTTTTATGATAGTCACAGAGAGAGAGAGAGAGAGAGAGGCAGAGACACAGGCAGAGGGAGAAGCAGGCTCCATGCACTGGGAGCCCGATGTGGGACTCGATCCCGGGTCTCCAGGATCGCGCCCTGGGCCAAAGGCAGGCGCTAAACCGCTGCACCACCCAGGGATCCCTGGGTACATGATTTCTTTTTGGGGTGATGAATTACTGTCTAAATTAGACAGTAATGGTTGTACAACTCTGTAAATATACTACAAACCACTGAACTATACCTATTAAAACGGTGATTTTATGGTATGTTAATTATATCTCAATAAAGCTGTTAAAAAACATTTCTGCTAATAATCAAATTAATGCATCTTAAAAGGATTCTATTATAGTTTGGCAAAGATTTTTAAAAGGCTCACAGTTGGTAAAGATGTGGAAAAACAAGAATTCCCATTCATTGCTGTAGAGAATATACTTTAGAACAGCTTTGTGAGGGCAATTTGATAATATATAACAAAATGTTTATTTTTTTTAACAAAATGTTTAAAAACAGAGATATCCCCCCCAAAGAATAAAAATAAGAACAGAGATATCCCTTTGACTTGGTACTTTCAGAAATAACTGGACAGGAATTTTTTCTTTAAAAAAAAAAAGTAACTGGATAAATGGGCAAAAAAAGTATATACAGAGTTGACTGCAGGATTTTTTTTTTTTTAAAGATTTTATTTATTTGACACAGAGAGAAAACACAAGCAGAATGAGTGGCAAGCAGAGGAAGAAGCAGGCAGGGAGCCCAATTCGATGCAATGTGATATGATGTGATGCTGGACTCGATCCCAAGATCCTGAGGTCATGACCTAAGCCCAAGGCAGATGCTTAACTGACTGAGCCACCCAGGCCCCCCAGTGGCCCCAGGCCCCACCAGTTTTTAAAATGGTGAAAAACTGGGCAGCCCCAGTGGCTCAGAGGTTTAGTGCCGCCTTTGGCCCAGGGCGGGATCCTGGAGACCTGGGATCGAGTCCCATGTCGGGCTCCCTGCCCTACTTTTCCCTCTGCCAGTGTCTCTGCCTCTCTCTCTCTCTCTCTCTGTGTCTCTCATGAATAAATAAATAAAATCTTAAAAAAAATGCTATATTCATACAATAGAGCACTATATAAGCTTTAGTTAAGGTACACTCATAAAGTAGTGTATATGGAAAAATGTTGGCAATATATTAAGGGAAAAACAAACTGCTTTGTATAATAGCATGTATAATATCTCACTTAAAAAATATGTCTATGTCTATATAGGGGTGCCTGCCTGACTCCACAGAGCATGCAGCTCTTGATCTCAGGGTTGTGAAGTCAAGCCCCATATTGGGCGTAGAGATTACTTTAAAATAAAAATAAAAACTTAAAAAAACCTTTATAAGTTGGGAAAAATATGTACACCAAACTCAACAATAATCATCTCTGGGTAATAATTTACTTACTTCCTACATTTTTTTTATTGTTTAGAACTTCTTTTACAGAAAGTATATATAATTTATATATAACACAAATACATATATATATATACATGCATATAAATTTATATACAATTTAAAATTGTGAAGTGTATATATTGTCAAAGGTCTTATATACTTCTATACATGACAACTGGGAAATTAAAATCAAGCAGAGAAGAATTTATAAAGAAGGGAAAGTATGCCCTCAAACTCACAAAATCCTATTTCTAGAAGTAGTCATCATGAACATTTTGATCCTTTCTGATCTTTTTGTTCATATATATAAATATAAGTGCACATATATACTTTTTATTTTTCTCAAAAGTGAGATCACATAAAATATATTGTTTTTGGTGTTGTTGAGGTTTTTTTTAAAGATCTTATTTATTTATTCATGAGACACAGAGAGAGAGAGAAAGAGAGGCAGAGACACAAGCAGAGGGAGAAGCAGACTCCACGCAGGCAGAGGGAGAAGCAGACTCCATGCAGGGAGCGATGTGGGACTTGATCCCAGGACCCCGGGGTCATGTCCTGGGCTGAAGGCAGCGCTAAACCGCTGAGCCACCCAGGCTGCCATGTTGTTGAGTTTTTTAAAGATTTTATTTATTTATTTGACAGAGAGAGAGGGAGTGCACAGACAGGTGAAGCAGCAAGTAGAGGGAGAGAGAGAAGCAGGTTCCCTGCTGAGCAGAGAGCCTGAAGTGGGACTCAATTCCAAGACCTTGGATCATGACCTGAGCTGAAGGCAGATGCTTAACTGACTGAGCCACCCAAGTGCCCCATATAACACAAAGTCATGTGACTAATCTTTTCACTTAATTATATGTCTGGATACATCTTGTTGTATGTTAGTATGTATATATTTACATTACTCTTCTTAAACACTGCATAGTATTCCATGTTACTGTTTAGATTACTTTTTTAATTGGAAAAAATAAAGCTGTTTCTTTTTTTTTTTTTTAAGATTTTTATTTATACTTGAGAGACACACACACACACACAGAGAGAGAGAGAGAGAGAGGAGCAGAGACACAGGCAGAGGGAGAAGCAGGCTCCATGCAGGAAGCCTGATGTGGGACTCGATCCTGAGACTCCAGGATCATGCCCTGGGTCACCCAGGGATCCCCAATAAAGCTATTTCTGTTCAACAAACAAAACAAAACCTAAGGAACTATACAACCCATTAGTCTTGAGTGCCCCCTACTGGGGGATCTTCATTGATTAATAGAATGCTAAATTACAAATTAATACAAGAAATAATTCAAACACAGGATACCAGACTTTTCAGTATATGGCCAAAAAAAATCTAAAAACTCAAAAGAAAAGTGTGTTTTGAGGGTAGCCCATGTGGCTCAGTAGTTTGGCGCTGCCTTTAGCCCAGGGCATGGTCCTGGAGACCCGGGATCAAGTCCCAGGTCGGGCTTCCTGCGTGGAGCCTGCTTTTCCCTCTGCCTTTGTCTCTGCCTCTCTCTCTGTGTCTCTCATGAATAAATAAAATCTTAAAAAAAAAAAAAAAAGAAAAGAAAAGAAAGAGAGAAAAAAAGAAAGAAAAGTATGTTTTGAAATGATTTTATCAAGAAGTTCTTTACCTACTTATGCTATATTATAGATATGTGCTAAAAAATCTCCAATCAGGGTAAATACAAGAATATCAAGTTAAGTGACTTGACCTTTTCCCATCACCCTCCTGGTCAAGTGTGTGTATTGGTGTGACAGGTGGCAGAATGGAAATTGATGGCAATTAGTTAAAAAAAAAAAGTAGTTACCTCACTCCTTTCTGTCTTGTCACTTCCGATCTTTATATCTAACTTCACATTTCAAATCTAGAAGAGTTAGCTCTACCTCCAAACATCTAGGTTGTCCACACTAAGTAACTTTCCTATCTGAATCTGTAATTATACAACATGTAATAATAAAAGACTCAGAGTAAAAGAAAAATGGGGATGTTAGAAGAGTTTACCTGAAAAACATCAAGTATATTTAGACAAAAAAAAAACCCAAGATTGCAATTACCAAAGGCAGCATTTCTTTATCAAACAAGTCCATTTTAAAATATAGCATCTTGATTATGCTTATTTTCTAGGAAAACTGATATACAACGCAAGACTAGAATTAATTTTTTCTAAAAATTAAACAAAAACTACATTTAAAACTGTCTCTATTATGTGTTTGAGTCAAATTCTATTTAGCTATTTCTAGACATTAATATTTTATACAAGCTTGACTTTATGATAAAATTCTCTTGGCTAATAATACTTACAGCTAATCTGTGGTTATTTGCAAGGCTGATCATTTGCTGGGCTAGGCCATTTAGTAATCGAGTCCGAAGGGATAGATCATCTAGGTCATGACGAAAAGGAAAAGCAATACCATCCACTATCACTAATCGAACCTAAATACAGAAGAGATCATGATATTAGGTTTGGTATTAAAAATAAAATTTTAGGGATCCCTGGGCGGTGCAGCAGTTTAGCGCCTGCCTTTGGCCCAGGACACGATCCTGGAGACCCGGGATCGAATCCCACGTCGGGCTCCCGGTGCATGGAGCCTGCTTCTCCCTCTGCCTATGTCTCTGCCTCTCTCTCTCTCTCTCTCTCTCTCTCTCTGTGTGTGTGTGTGTGTGACTATCATAAATAAATAAACATTTAAAAAATAAAATAAAATAAAATTAAATTTTAAAAATGGCATCCCAAAAGCATGTTCACTGCAGGTAAAAAAAAATCCTTAAAATTCAGAATTCTATTTCTAACTCTCCAAGATAAATCCATTCACCCAATGTTTTCAACAAAAATTAAAATATACTCTGGTTTGATAATTTATCAACTTGAAAAAGTAATTCAACGTAAAAAAAGCAATTACAATTTTCGTATACTTTACACAATCTTTTTTTACTTTTTTTTTTTCAATTTTTATTTATTTATGATAGTCACACAGAGAGAGAGAGAGGCAGAGACACAGGCAGAGGGAGAAGCAGGCTCCACGCACCGGGAGCCCAATGTGGGATTTGATCCTGGGTCTCCAGGATCGCGCCCTGGGCCAAAGGCAGGCGCCAAACTGCTGCGCCACCCAGGGATCCCTACTTTACACAATCTTTACAGAGGCATTTTACACTGATAAAAAGCACTTCTGACATCTTAGTAAAATAAATTCTTCGATATTTCAAATTACCTTCAAGATTTTTTGTTTAAAAAAAATTCTTCAATTGGTAAATTATTATACCTTCTTCAAAAACTTAATTCTTGGTATACTTTTCCTCCTTAATTTTAAATATACTATAAGGCAGCTAATCATTGCAGTATCTGTTATAATGGAGAATTCAGCATGAGGCAGGTTTGTCTTGAATTCTAATGAAGAAGGCTCACTTATAGATGATAAACATTTTCATGACAATTGCATTTCTAATATCCAAATAATGGCTCCTACAGTGAAGTCAGAGTAATATATAAACCTCATATCTAAGAACAAACAGAATCTGGAAATGAATCCAAATTTAAAAATCCCATTAAGATTATATATTTTTCTTGTAAGGATTAGACTAAAGAAGAGGATTTGATGACGCCATGTCTAAGTAATCCATTTGTGTATCTTCTAGAGTATTCATTCCTTCATTCAGCACCTACTATGTTAGTAACTGTTCCAGGCAGTACTTGTTCCAGGAACAAGAATTTATGGAGTTTATGTTCTAGTGGAGTAAAGGGCAATTAACATGCAAAAAAATACATGAGTAATTTCTGATAATGATGGAGTTATGAAGAAACTAAACTGGGTGAAATAATGATGAATAAGTAGGTGATAAAGTAGAGGGAGGCTAACTTAGACTAGATGTAAAGGAAGGTGTCAATGAAAAGGGAGGCAATAGATCTGAGTACTCAATAAGAACCTATAGGAGGGAAAGACAGCCCACATAAAGGACATATACACATATTTTTGTGTATGGTGATACACTGTAACTGGACATATTGTGAGTTTTCATAATGTGTAAAAATATCAAATCACTATGATGTACACCTGAAACTAACAGGATATAGTACATCAATTATAATTCAATTAAAAAAATATACCCGTTGTTTCACTTTCATCACACTTGTTGACATAAACAAAACTATCAACCAGCACTCATGTTAAAATGTACTTGTTCATCATGAGGTAAGCAACTTCTTTTGAATTGGACAGCAATTCAATTGCCTGCTCACCAATAAAGGCTGACCCATTAAAAAGAAAAAGCCAGAAACAGATACATAAATAGATATAAAATGCTCCACTCAAGAGCAGAATACATATTCTTCTCAAATGCACAGAGAACATTCTCCTGGATAGATCTAGAGGTTGGGTCACAAAGTAAGTCACAAAACAAATGTATAAAGATGGGATGGATCATATATAAAGTATCTTCTCTGACCAGAATGGAATGGAATTAGAAGCCGGCATCAGAAGGAAATTTGGAAAACTCACAAATTAAACAACACCTCTTTTTTTTTTTTTTAAGTAATCTCTATACCCAATATGGGGCTCAAACTCATGACCCCCATGGGTGCCTGGTGGCTCAGATGGAGATGCATGAAACTTTTGTTTTTGTTTTTGTTTTTTTTTGTTTTTTTTTTTTTTTATTTACGATAGTCATACAGAGAGAGAGAGAGGCAGAGACACAGGCAGAGGGAGAAGCAGGCTCCATGCACCGGGAGCCCGACGTGGGATTCGATCCCGGGTCTCCAGGATCGTGCCCTGGGCCAAAGGCAGGCGCCAAACCGCTGCGCCACCCAGGGATCCCTGCATGAAACTTTTGATCTCGGGGTCACGAGTTCAAGTACCATGTTGGATATAGAGATTATTTAAATAAACTTAAAAAAACAAACCCAAAACAACAATAACAAAAAACTCACAACCCTGAGATCAAGAGTCACATGTTCTATCAACTGAGTTAGCCAGGCAACCCTAAGCAATACACTCCCTAAATAAGGAATGAGTTAAAGAAGGCATTAAAAGGGAAATACTTAAAGATGAATGAATATAAAAGCACAGTATACCAAGTTATTATTATTTTTTTTAAAGATTTATTTATTCATGAGACACAGAGAGAGAGTCAGAGACACAGGCAGGGGGAGGAGAAGCAGGCTCCCGGCAAGGAGCCGGATGTGGGACTTGATCCCAGATCCTGGGATCATGCCCTGAGCCAAAGGCAGACAGACGCTCAACCACTGAGCCACCCAGGTGTCCCACAATATACCAAGTTAAAAGATACAGTGAAAGTAGTGCTCCATAGTAAATGTAGAGCTCTAAACAACTATCTTTTTAAAAAAATAAAGGAAGAAAAGATCTCAAATCAATAATCAAAACTTGGACCTTAGGAAACTAGAAAAAAGAACAAACTAAACCCAAAGAAGGCAAAACAAAAGAAGTAATAAAAATTAGATGAAGGGCACCTGGGTTGCTTAGTGGTTAAGTACCTACCTTTGTCTCAGGGCATGATCCCAGAATCCTGGGATTGAGCCTCCCCCCATCGGGCTCCCCACAGGGAGCCTGTTTCTCCCTCTGCCTATGTCTCTGCCTCTCTCTCTCTACATCTCTCATGAATAAATAAATAAAATCTTTAAAAAAAATTTTTTTTTAAACTGACTTAAGAAGAAATAGAGGGCAGCCTGGGTGGCTCAGCAGTTTAGCGCAGCCTTCAGCCCAGGGCGTGATCCTGGAGACCCAGGATGGAGTACCCACATCGGGCTCCCTGCATGGAGCCTGCTTCTCCCTCTGCCTATGTCTCTGCTTCTCTCTCTCTCTCTGTCTCTCATGAATAAATAAATAAAATCTTAAAAAAAAAAAAGAAGAAGAAGAAGAAGAAGAAATAGAAAATCTGAATGGGAAAGATTGAATCAGTGATCAAAAGCCTTCAATTAACAAAAAAAGACCAGGACCAAAGAACTTCACTAGTGAATTTTTTTTTTTAAGTAAACTATATCCCCAGTGTGGGGCCCAAACTCATGACCCTGAGATCAAGAGTCACATGCCATACTGACAGAGCCAGCCAGATGCTTCACTGATGAATTTTATAAAATGGTTAAAGAATTTACACTGGGACGCCTGGATGACAGTCGGTTATGCATCTGCCTTCAGCTCAGATCATGACCTTGGGATTCTGGGATTGAGCCCCCTTGCTCCACAGGGAGTCTGCTTCTCACTCTCACCCTCCGCATACCTTGCTTGTGCTCTCTCTTGCTCAATCTCTCTCATATAAATAAAATCTTTTAAAAAAATAAAGAATTTACACCAATCCTTCTCAAACTTTTCCCAAAAATAGAGGGAACACTTCCTCATTCATTCTACGAAGCCAGTATCATACTGATACCAAAGCCAGATAAAGACATCCCCAGTAAAGAAAACCACAGACATTACAGATGCAAAAATCCTCAGCAAAAACATGGCATTAAATAAACCATGAAGAGGATACTTGTTTACAATATGAAAGCTGAGGGGGATCCCTGGGCGGTGCAGCGGTTTAGCGCCTGCCTTTGGCCCAGGACACGATCCTGGAGACCCGGGATCGAATCCCACGTCGGGCTCCTGGTGCATGGAGCCTGCTTCTCCCTCTGCCTATGTCTCTGCCTCTCTCTCTCTCTCTCTGTGTGACTATCATAAATAAATAAAAAAAATTTTAAAAAAATATGAAAGCTGAAATAAGAAGGCAAAGAATACTTTGTTCAACCTCACCTGGGAACATGTGTGTTGGGAGACTCAAGTTTTTGGCCACTTACATTTGTCCACTATACTACTATGCCCTAACCTCCAATATAATTATATTTTGATATAGGGCTTCTAGGGAAGTAATAAAGATTAAATGAGATCATAATGGTGGGGCCCTGATCTGACAGGATTAGTGTCCTTAAAAGAAGAGTAATCAAAGAGCTCATTCTCTGTTGCTCTGCTATGTGAGGACACTATAAGAAGGTAGTCTTCTGTATGTCAGGAAGAGAGCACTTGCCAGACACAGAATCAACTGGAACCTTAATCTCAAGACTTCCAGCCTCTAAAATAGTGAAAAAATAAATTTCTTAAACCCAACCAGTTTATATTATTCAGCATAATATATTCACAAATGATTATAAAAGGATAGATTTTGGGATTACCATAAATTTTAGCAAGTCGTAAATTTGCAGCTAGAGAACCTGCAAATAATGCAGATCAACTGTACTTACAGGTGATAGACTGAAAGCTTTCTCCCTGATCTTAGTAAGACAAAAATGCCGACTTTTATCACAGTTATTCAACACTGTACCAAGAGTTCTACCAAGAACAATTACATAAGAAATAAAAGGTAGGCAAACTGGAAAGGAAGATATAAAATTTCCATTCGCAGAGCACCTGGGTGGCATAGTCAGTTGAGCAGCCAACTCTTGGTTTTGG